TCTCGGGCTTAACCTCTTCACGGCGTGCAGCCCGGAATACATCATCGGAGGCACGACCGACTATTGATCGGCCGGCCGGCAGTGCGCCAGCGCAAGTAGAGGCCGGACGCAAAGAGGCATTCATGAGCGTCAGCCGCCCTCGGCCGTAGTGCGTTTGCCCGACATTTGGCTACCCGTGTCGTTATGCCCGTCGTCGCACCGAGGTGTCCTTAGATGCTGCCATTATGTCCGGTGGTACGTAAAAACATTTCATTAACATAAAGATTAATCGCTCGCGTTCGATATCGTCCGTCGCGACAAACGTCTTTCCTCTCCGAGCCGAGGGAGGGAGCAGAAGCCGGCTCGCCCTCGTCTCGTGATGTAAATTATGCAGAGACGCGATATTCATTGACGCCGATCGTACATGTCGTTTACATTAATGGTGAGTCAGCCATCGGGCGAAACGCGCAATCGCCACGCGCGAGTTATTTCACGTTACACGCGTTTTGTATTAAAAAAAAAAGAAAAAAAACGTGTCGCGCGCGTTTGTTAATTTAGCACCTGTTTCTGTTAAGAGATTTACCTTAGACATTGTTGTCGCGATGTTAATGACCGTTTGTTTCGCTCAGTAAGACAGGGATTATATCGGCTTCGCGACGCTGCCGGAGCAAGTGCACCGAAAATCGGTGAAGAGGGGCTTCGAGTTCACCCTGATGGTACTGGGTGAGACCGGTCTCGGCAAGTCGACGCTCATAAACAGCCTCTTCCTCGGGGATCTGTACAAAGACCGGCGAATTCCAGATGCGGCGGGTGCGTGATAATTTTTATATTCGATCTGTTCAACCCCCAAGCCCCTGTAAACTCCTGTAACGCGAGGTCCTCTAGAGAACTGAACATCCACCCGTTAAAAAACTCCTTCCTCAACCGAAATTATCCATGGCCAATCGAAATAGCCGGCATGACATTATTTCATCGTGGGGGGGGGGTGGCAGCGGGGGAGTGGACGCTACTCGGATGGTCGCTGTTCTAAAATCCACCTCATGCTCCCCGCGAGTTATTGACACGTGAAAAATATTTGATCAGCTTACATCGTTGGTAAACCGATCTCGAGGAGCTGATAAATATTCATCGTTCACTTTCAGAGCGAGTGGCTAAGACCACCTCTATCGAGAAAAAGACAATGGATATAGAGGAGCGTGGCGTACGGCTGCGCTTAACGATCGTAGACACGCCAGGTGAGAGATTTCGCCGAGTTATTTATTTTCT